GGAGAGGTTTATATATTCGACCATGTATTTAAGCAGGAATGTACAAATTCAGATGTATATGGATCTGTAGTAAAACCTTTAGTCGATTCTTCATGGAAGGTTTCAATGCCACAATATTTGCATATGGCCAAACATCTTCTGGCAAAACACACACCATTTTGGGCAATAAAACAGATCCTGGGCTTTTCCAATTAGTATCCAATCAGTTATTCCAGCATGTGGCAGACCAGGTTGATAAGAGGTACTTGATTAGATGCAGTTATATTGAAATCTACAATGAAAAGATCAATGACCTCCTGGATAAGAGCAATCAGGGTTTAACTATAAGAGAAGATATCAAAGGAAATGTGCTGCTTGATGCAAGGGAAGCTGTCGTAGACAATGTTGATAAAGTTATGGAGAACATGATGCAGGGCAATAAGATCAGACGAGTTGCAGCTACTCGCATGAATGAGAGGTCATCTCGATCACACACGATTTTCCGGATTATTCTGGAGTCGAAAGATGCCAATCAGAAGATGGACCTGTACTATAAGCTACCTTAACTTAATGGACTTAGCTGGTTCTGAGAGAGTTTCTCTGACGAAAGCTGCTGGTGAGCGTCTTAAAGAGGGGGCTAACATAAACAAATCTTTGTCAGTATTAGGAAATGTGATAAGGCAACTAAGCGAGGGGAAGGAGTTTATCAGTTATCGCGATTCGAAATTGACTAGACTGCTCTCACAGGCTCTTGGCGGTAATGCCAAATCATTGATTATCGGGAATGTTACTTTAGCTGCAGAGGAGGAGAGACTACACCAGAATTCGCCCAAAGCACTAAAACTGTCAAAAATAAAACGAAAGTAAACATCTTGTCAGCTACAGAAGAGACACTTCAAGGATATCAGAACTTGACTCGCGATCTCGAAACTCGGCTCAAAAAAGCAGGCAATTAAGCTAAAAGAGATGGATAAAAGCAAACAAGAGTATCTGCTCGAGATAGAAAGACTAAAAACGGAAGTATCTTGTCGGGCGCTTTCAAATGGGAGCCTCGGCATCAACACCGAAAAAAACATTAAGACGTCATACTTTTGGACACTATGGCAACGTATCACCTAAAAAAAGCATCCCTAGGGTATATGCCATTGAAAATTATCCACCCAAAGAAGAATCATCCGGACGTGAAATGGGCCTATTCAAGAAGAGACATATGAGGAGGCACTAGCCGAAGCAGAATCTGTGATAGCTGAAGACGTGCAAGTGTACTTAAAAGACAACTCAAAGAACTGGAAGAATCTTTCATGAGCTTAGAGAATTCACTAAACTAGATAATCAGCTGGAGATTTTGGACCTGAAGAAACAGCTCACAGAAGCCAATTCTAAATTCGATCGTTACAGTCAGGAACTCCGCCAAGTAACGGATGCGTACAACGAAGAAATAGAAAGAGTTCAAAAAAATTCTCAAAAAGCGCAAGAATTTCATCGACTTGCAATACAGACTCGATTTTCTGGAAAAAAAATAATAAAAAGACTAAAAACATACGAGTCAGAAATAGAGATGCTGCGTACTCAACTGAAGAACCTAGGAAGATCAGAGAGCCCTAAACCATCTCTTGAAGCTCAAAATATTGAGTCAAAAAAGAAGGTTGCAGACTTAGAAGCTATGCTTGACGCTGAGTACGAAGATATGCAACATTCTTTAAGTGCTGCTGCACAAACTGATGTAACGATGTCACACATTGCTGAACTGCAAGATGAAATTGGCTTCCTAAAAGAACTTGA